ATTCAACGCGACATAAAAAGAGATAAATAAAAACAATTTTCATTCAATTTTTTTAGATTAGACTTTACTGAATGAAATAAAACTTTTCTGCTCATAGAAGAAATTCATTTTAAAATTATCTGCTTGTATGTGAGAACATGGAGTTGGCGTCAAACTTTGTTAATATATCATAGATATATTGTTATGGAATCAATTATTTAATAAAATAAAACGGAACAAATATTTACAATAAAAAATATATAAAAGAGTTATAGTAATATAAAATAGCTTAACTGATATCAGAGTTTATTCAAATTTATCGAATAATGTGTATTTTCATTATTATTTTCATTATTATCGTTAGAATTTTGTATTGATTGTCCATGATGTTATCTAAAATAAATAAATACATATATTATTAACCCAGTAGAAAGAAATTGTTGATTTTAATTAATAGAAACGAAACAAAATGTACAAAAATCAAAGTCTTCTAAAATATAGTGTAAAAAGCAATTGAAATGACAAACTAAATAAACTGATAAAAAAATCAAGAACGTGACAAAACTTAATCCATGAAGATTGAGAAAATAAATAATGGATGGTAGAAATAAAATGAAGCAAGGTTTTTTTAAAGTCAAAACAAAATTAATTTTGAAAAAAATTGTAAAGAAACAAGTGTGACCCAAATTACTAATAATCATATATAAGAAGATCCAATAAGAAACCAAACAAAACAACTCGAGACTCCAAAGACAAATTTAAAAGAGACTGTAATCAATATCTCAATTCGGCCACTCACGGATAACGAAACAAGCTTACTAGCCAAAGGAGGAAATATCAGCGTAACCTCACAGACAATACATACAAAAGAAATTATTGCCGCTATAGAAACCTGAATTAACAGACTACCACCTAATGTCTAAGAAGAGGATGCGGTTAATCTACAAAAAGCCAAACCACTAACAAGTAATATTTCAAGAGGCGAGAAGGAATCTATAAGAAGTCTTAATGAGGATGAAAACATCATAATTCTATCCGCCGACAAAGGAAATGCAACAGTCATCATAAACACATCGGACTATGGGAGCAAGCTGAATTATCGGCTCAATAAAGACACATACAGAAACTTATCGAAAAATCCAAGAGAGAAAATTTAAAAAAAAACATCAAATTATTAAAACATTCGTCATTACCACCGAAGACAAAGTAGACAATCTGCACTATTGAAGCTCTACTACTAAAAATTCACAAAGATAATTTACCACCAAATCCATTATTGCCATAGTATCACCAACTTACAACCTGGACAAACATCTGCCGCAAATTCTGCACACACGTTGGCAGGACAAACACCTTCATGCGAGATTGTACGTACTTCATCAAACACTTAAAGATTATCACCTTAGAGCCTAACGACATCCTAGTCAGCTTTGACATCATCTCTTTATTCACAAATGTCCCACTCAATGAAGTAGTCAGCTACATAGGGGAGTTTTTTCTAGAGCTCATCAATCTTTTCTGACACTCGCTTAAAACATCTTATTTCGAGTGGAATGAAACATTCTATGAACAAATTGACGGAGTCGCTATGGGCAGTCCACTCATCCCAGTTGTGACCAATTTTTACATAACAAAATCTAAATTGAGAGTTATACGCACTGCTGAAAAACAACCAAAGCATTGGATGTAGTATATAGATGACACATTTACAATCGAGAGTCACAGGAGAAAGGAACTCCAGAATTATCTAAACTATCTGAACAGTTTTCACTCTTAAGTCCAGTTCACCATGGAAATGAAAAAACCGACATATACCTTTTCTGCCGAAAAAGCAATAAAGTAGACTACAAAGTATTCCGAAAGAATACATCTATACCTTTAATGTGGATCCAATCCTCATCCAAAACAGAAACGAAGGATATGTGATCCAACGATCAAATGAAACACCTGACAAAAGTGTTACAAGCAAGTGATACAGCAAGATATCAGTGCTGCGTGCCTAAGGGAGAATAAGACCAAGTCTAGTGAAAAACAAAATCAAGGAACTGTGTTTATACCGTACGTAGAAGGTGTCAATGATCGAATTGGGAAAATCCTAAAGAAAAAGAAAAGCAGCAATGTCTACAAGCCAACAAAACCGGGAAATATTTTAAGACAGCAAAAGACCTCTAAAACCACCTCATATCAGCAGTAGTCTACAGAATTTCATGCACTTGTGAAAAAGTATACATAGGACAAACAAAAAGAAGCATTGGCAGACAAATAATAGAACACGAAGTTGTCGTTTATAATAAACCGAATCATGATCGTTTTCGAGAACACCGACCTACTAGCAACATCAAGACATTACTTAACAAGATTGCACTTGGAGGCCATAGAAATACACAAACATTAAAAAAACTTCGATAGAAAGGAAAAAACAACATTACCTAGGATCTAGAACACATCATTAAAGAGCGCGAAAATAAAATCGCCTAATACGTCATCAAAAAAGAGCGCGCAGACACGTATATAAATACGACACAGTTGATACATCGTGAAGGGTACTTCGTCCACGCTACTGAAGTTGGCTGCCGCAGTTGCACTTGAAATGTTTGCCAGTAATAACCTAAAAAGACCATGTCGTAACAGCCCGGAAACAATTACATTGACGCCGCCTCTGAAAGCTTACATTCTTACTTTATTTCCATCTACTTTGATAGCCAAGCAGCTTGATTAACTAATCAGAAATGAAATTATAACTAATGAAAGACTGCCTAGAAGACCTGACAGAGCTAAGTAGTTAATATAAAGTGGCCTTAGCCTAAATACCAAGCTGTAAAGTACTAGCCCACTGAGGCTCAGAAAAAGTCATGACTGGACCTGAAACCTTCTGTGAAGTTGCTATGGCATTGTGTAAGGCATCCATCAAACAAACGATGCAAAAAGAATCTCAGGAACAGCGAAATTACTATCCAAAATAGAGAGAGGTCTAAGAGTTTATTAATGAACCGTTGGACAAGTTTATTGAAGACCCAGTCTATCAAAAACGACGAAATTGTTAGGAAAACAGGCAGTCTTTTTAAAGGATGCTCCACATAATGCCAGAAGAAAAAGAAGCAACATCATGCAGGTCATATGAAGAAGAAGAAGAAGAAGAAGAAGAAGAAGAAGAAGAAGAAAAAACATCAATCTTCATTTTGTGCCAATGTAATGGCATGGCTTGGCTGAGGTTTCTAACATTTGATAAAGAAAATTTAAAAACATGTAAAAAGATTCGAAAGTCATTGTTACTGCAAATATGTAGTCTAATAAAAAATACTAAACTAGAAGACAACGGAGTCCCACAATAGATCTAAAAAGGTCCCGGTGGACAAGGAGAAATAATGTTCAACTCCTTTTGAATCTAATCTAATCTAGTAAAAGCATTTTATTCTATGAGTACGTTGCATAATAACTATTGTATTTTTTTTAAAGAATGAGTTAAACTTAAATAATTGTGAATTAAATAAATAACATACAAATATTGGTGGAAATTATAATTCCAGTCTTGCTCTATAATCTACCACAAAACGATTCAAATTAAAAAAATATATATATTTAACCGCTCTACAAAAAATCAGACATCCATTGATAACCTTATTAGCGGTAGACAGTTTCCGAAATGAACGATTGATCGCTTTAATTTTATTGAATGCTATTCATTCTCCCTTTTTTTCATTATTTCTTATGAAAAATCAATTACTGTAACTTACTGTAGCTGCCTGTGTTGATGTTTTATTGTGATTTATGGTCTGGCTGACACACTACATTCAAAATGAATTGATGGGGCTTATTGATTTTAAAACTTTACTGGAGTAGCTTGGAAATTGTTTAATAGAGAAAAAATAATAGTAGCTGTTATTAATTTTTTATTTCGATTAAGAATGAAAAGATTGATTTTGTTTCTGTCTAACACCTAAGTTGACTTTTTGGTACATTTGAATGAGCAAGATTTTACTGTCTATTATCGATTTATTTTAAAGCAGGGGTTTTCAACCAGTGGGTCGCGAAGGAATGTGATAAATACAAATAAAAAGCATTCAGGCCACAGATACCATACGAGCGGCGGATAATAAATGAAGCGACCATGTATTTATTTAGAACCTGAGTTGAGTCCGCTTGTTTAATATCAATTGCAACCAATGCAATACAACTTTAAAACACAACTATGATTAACAAAAAGGAACAAGTGAAGCTATAACTGACTAAACAGCGTTGCTAAAAATGTGGGGCTCCTCGCGCCGCTTGTACCGTAACGTAGGCCTTATTGTTGTAAGACAAAGTTGTTTATTTAGAAAAGACTCCAGCAGAATTATTTAATGAGAAACTTGAGCTTGCTCGGATTTAACTAATTGCTGAATGTCTGGGTTGATTTTTGTCAAACACAAAATAATATCATTTTCCAGTGCCAAACAATGTCTGGATTTTGTTTTTAAATTTACAATTGCAGCGAAAAATATCAAAAGCATCAACACTACTTTGGTCAATTCTGGGTGTTCCTTCTTTATACTTAGCCAGAACTTGTCGGGTCAAACATCGTCAGAAACAAGTTTCATTGACTGATCACTTGATATATCTATTAGTTCACCGTGGAGGCCAGCATTTAGTTCAGCTTTTTGTACAGCGTTTTCAGGAATAGGTTTTGTTATCCACATAGATCCACTTGTTTGTATCTTTAACAAGAATATAATCATTCAATTGCTTTATCAAACCTTCAAGATGTGATGATATGAGTAATGAGAGAATTGATGTGTCAATGGATGTGTCACTAATACTTGTAACTCACTTTCTGAATTCTTGTGTGAGTTGAAAATTTTCAGTCTTCATTCTTTATTCTTGTTTCCAAAGAGTAAGTTTTTTCTCAAATGCATTTACTCGGTCTTGAGTATACAAAATAGTTGTGTCTGGACCTTGTAGGGATACGTTCAAATTATTGAGATGAGAAAAAATATTCGCTAAGTAAGCAAGCTTTATCGCTGAAAAAACGGGAAAGTTCAGGTTTACTGCAAATGTTTGTGCAGGGCTCCTACTTCTTCACACAAGTTTTCAAGTAATCTACTCTGCAATGGGCATCTCTTAACGTAGTTAACAACTTTGATAGCCTCAGCCAAAACGTGACGCAAGTCATCTGGCATTTCTTTAGCTGCCAAAGCTTGTCTATGTAAAAAACAATGCACCCAGTTTGAATTTGGCATTAAATTTTTCAACCTGGCAATCAAAACACTGTTTTTTCCCAAAAGGGCTCTTGCTTTATCACTACAAATTGAAACACATTTGTTCCAACACTTTAAAAAGACTTTCACCTGTGGCATGGTCTGGCAAAAATTTGCAAAATAATACATTTTCGTTAATAGAGTGACCGCAATCATACCTAATAAAGCACAAGAACAGTTGATTTGTCGCATCAAATCAAACAAAACATGCTTTCTTTTATTTGCATCTTTAGCTGGTTCCGAACATGTTTAGACATGTCCAATATTCGTCGTGACATAGTGTCATTTAATAGTAGCATTTTTTTCAGCTTGTCAGCTTCCTGAGAATTAATACTATTTGAAACCATATCGATTGCGGCAGGAAGAATTAATTCCTCAGCAATGGTACGTGGCTTCCCCACTTTAGCAATCTTAAGTGCTACCTCTTCTTAAGAGCATTTTTGCTAACATCATCAGCAAGACCTTTAATATTTACCTGTTGACTTCGAAGGGACAGCAGTTTTCTCTTGAAAAACTCCACTTGTTTGTTTATCAGCGCCAAATGTTTATTTTCAAGATGACGCTTCATTTTTGAAGGTTTAATGCTTTCAGCTGATAATACTTCACTACAAATATCACACTGAAGTTTGTTTTCAAGTTCAGTAAAACCAAACTATAGATATAAATTATCATACTTTCGGCATTTTGGTTTCGATACTTCGCAATTCTCACTAGAAGAATCTATTTTCAAAAACTTATCCATTATTAACACAAAAACACGAGTGTTCAATTTGAAGATCGAAGTCCGCACTATTACTCAAGACGTCAGGCAGTCGACTGGCAGCTGTCTTGCTTATCGGAGAATGAGTTACGTTGTGCGATGGCTGCGCGCGCAGCTCCATGTCAGGCTATGTCTCCGCGGCTATAAATACACCACGCGTCAGGTCTGTAAATGCACCTCGCGTGATCCTTGCCTGCTTTGATATTAAAGGATAAAAATGATTCAAATCACCTTCATGATACTATTGTAACCGGATCGTTCATTAATTATTAATAAATTAGTGCTCACCAACCTCTTGTTAATAAAGTTTTGAATAGTGTTTTTTTTACTATTTTAACATGTTTCATAACAATTAATTATTGCTGTTTTTTGTGTATGGAAGCCTGCTTTACGATGTTACTAGAAGGGGTCGACAAAATTCTCAACCTAATAAGGGGGTCGCAGCGTTGAAAAGGTTGAGAACCCCTGTTTTAAAGTATTAATTTCAAACGAAAATACATGTTTGTAAGGTGCTGCAGGAACAGTTATCTATTAAACAAACGTATTATCTTCGAAGGAAAGATACAAGAAAGGTTTATTTAACTAGTTTATTATTAGTTTGTTTATAGCCTCCCAATATCAAATATTCCTTTATTTAATTACGGTTATAATATTTATGTAAATCATTATTTAAAAAATCACCTTTTCTTACTCTGAACTCTACAATGTAATTATATCAAGAACAAGCAAAGGAAAATTAAAAAAATTAATCGAGTTACCTTAAAGAAGATTATTTATAATTTTCCGAGCTTGTCCGTAGATATAATTATTTCCCATCCAACCCTAAAATATGTGGATATATATTTAGTTCCTAGATGTCAGGTGATTTTCGTAACTCGCACTTCAACGGAATTATATATTAAGGTTTGGTATACGATAAGGATTAAATAAAATTACCTTTGTACAAAGTTGCTTCGTTTGGGCTCCAGAGGGCCTTGAAGTTACAATTTTTAAATCGTTTTTCCCATGTAAATTTAAAACAGCATATGCGATTTTGCTGAAATTTGGCATATTGGTAGAGCTTTATGTGGCAAAAAAAATGGTATTAAAATTTTGTCCGATAATAATACATAGGCGTAGAACTTGATTTTTTAAATAATTGCACCTTTAAAAATTCTACGCCAATGGAAGAAAAGGAGTTTGAGTATGAAATTAAGATTGCGCAACTCATTTACTTTAAAAAAGGTACTTTTGATAAGACTCGATTACTCTCATAGTTTTGACGAAATGTGCATTTTAGTAATTATAGAACATAAACAATAATTTTTAAAATACAAACTTTGTCAAAAGCATGAGAGTAAATCGAGTGTTATCAAGGGTACTTTTTTGTAGTAAATGAGTACCCAATCCAAATTTCATACTTTTTTGCCATTTGTGTAGCATTTTTAAAGGTGCAATTATTTAAAAAATCGAGTTCTACGCCTATGTATTATTATCGGACAAAATTTTATGCGATGAAAAACATAAAAATGTACTTTTTTCATTTCTTCTTCAACACCTCTAATCGAGACTTTTAACAAAAATACTCGATTCTTGCCATGTACGATTTTTTGAGGAATATTAATTATTTTCCTGCAATGCGTATACAAAAACATTTATTGTTGGTTTCCATAGTTTCATCTAAATAAAAATATTGTCAAGTTTTAACACCTAATCTCTTGTTAACGATTGAAAGTGTTCTATCTGACTCAATAATTAAAAAAACAAATGCGTGGTTTATTAATATGGCTGTACAATATACCAATGCAGAATATACCGATATGTTACTGACATTAGGATTTTGTGAAGGAAATGCTCGAGAGAGTGTTTCCAAATAATCGTGTACCTAGCCACCCAACTTTTGCTGCTGTTGAGAGTCGTCTTCGGGAGACCGGTTACTTTGCTCCCAACTCTGTTGATAATGAAAGAAAACGTTTTGTAAGGATTCCTGAAGTTGAAGAAGACATTCTAGAACGTGTTGAAGAAGATCCAGAATTAAGCACCAGACGAATTGGAAGGGAAGTAGGAGTAAGTAAAGATGTCGTTCATAAAATGCTTAGAGAACAATTGCTATATCCATACCATAAAAAGCCAGAACAAGAATTATTAGTCCATGATCCTCAAATTCGTTTGGGTTTTTGTCGATTTGTTAATATGCAAAGAGAAAGAAATCCAAACTTTGTCAAAAAGGTTCTCTTTACTGATGAAGCGGGTTTTACAAAAAGAAGTATAACTAATACCCATAATGAACATGTTTATGCCATTGAAAATCTGCATGCAATAAAGGTAAATCATTTTCAGCACGAATTCAAAATTAATGTGTGGGCTGGAATAATTGGTAATTTCATTGTTGGTCCTGTCATACTTCCACGAAGATTAACTGGAGAAAATTATTTGGATTTTCTACAAAATAGGTTGCCAGAATTATTAGAAGATTTACCTCTCCAACTTCGGAGAGTTATGTGGTTTATGCAAGATAGAGCTCCACCACATTTTTCTTTAAACGTTAGAAACCACTTGAATGAAGAATATCCACACAAATGGATAGGCAGAGGTAAAGACGCACCTGTAAACTAACCACCACGTTCCCCAGACCTAACACCGATGGATTACTTTTTATGGGGACATCTGAAATCCACAGTTTACAGGGAACCTGTAGAAAATGAAGAACAACTCTGGCAACGTATTCAAGATGCAATAAACAATCTTAGAAGTGATGAAGAAGTTATGGAAAGGATACATTTTAATTTTCTTCGACGTATAAATCTTTGTATGCGTGAAAATGGTAAACATTTCGAACAATTTCTGTAAAATCTCTTTTGATTATGTTGTAAATATTTTTGTGAAACCTATACACTCTAAATTATTAAAACAGAAATTTAGCGAAAACCATGAGAGTAATCGAGTCTTATCAGGAGTACCTTTTTTAAAGTAATAGAGTTGCGCAATCTAAATTTCATACTCAAACTCCTTTTCTTCCATTGGCGTAGAACTTTTAAAGGTGTAATTATTTAAAAAATCAAGTTCTACGCCTATGTATTATTATCGAAAAAAATTTTAATATCATTTTTTTTGCCACATAAAACTCTACCAATATTTAAAATTTCAGCAAAATCGCATATGCCGTTATAAATTTATATGGGAAAATCGATTTAAAAATTGTAACTTCAAAGCCCTCTGGAGCCCAAACGATGCAACTTTGTACTGAGGTAATTTTACTTAAATCGACTTATTTTGATCTAAGGAATATGTGGTATGTTTTTGTAAAGACCTTTTACAGACACCCTGTATAAATCAGGCAGTAAGAAAGATATTGAGAATTATAGGGATGTTTCATTTATGTGTGCTTCATCAAAGTTTATTAACAAATTAAGTTTATTAAAATTTACAAACAAGAATAGTATACAACAACATGGATTAGTAGCAGGCTAATCTATAAATACAAACTAAGGCATAATGTGAATACATCCGGTAAGTTTCATGCATATTTTTATGTCTGATGATAGCCCATAGAGACAGAAACTAGTTTTTTTATATATATCCCCTATATATCCCCTAACATGTGCGAATTCCTCAATGAATAACCTTGTATTAATTCATTTTTTACCTAATGGAAATGAAATAAAACAGTGACCTATTATTTCGAAGAGATAAAAAACAATTTTAACGCCGACCAATAAATAATGACTTCTCATTTCCGTTCCATAAAACACCGGAAAAATGTTGACCTTGAAGGGATGAAAAACGCGCCCGCTTCCCAAAAATATAGATCATTTCGTACAATAGAAAGTAATATATAAGACCCTTGACCACCGATAGAACCGATAAATATCACTGATCGTCCCTAAAAACGAACGGATGATACATAATCACGTGTCGATACCCAGCCCCAAAAACCCCTCTTTTCTCCCGGAAATCCAGATTGATGACCGCACACTCCAAAATTCCTATCACCCTCTCCATAATGTATTTTTATTGTCGTGTATCCCTAGCATAGCTCATATTTACTAACCGAGTGTTTAGGGCGGCCTGGGCTCAGAATTTGGGTCGTATCGCAGTCAAAGGATACTCTCCCGGGGGCGGTAAATTACCACCCGTGGCTACGGTCGGTCCATATACGCTCCGGTCAACACTAGATAATAGCGGTGGGAACGAGACGAGGAGCGGGTGGCTTCGGTTAGATATTGAGAGGTGCAAAATTATTATTTACGAACCAGTTTTTAATCCTTTTCCAAGGACGAAACGGTACATTTCAATTTTAATTAAAAATTTAAGTAGTAGGTTCATTAATTCACAAGAATTAAATAACTGAATGTATGTAATCAAAATTAAATTTCCTCAGAACCCATATTATTTTATGAGGATTTATTTACATACCTAAATAAAATCATAAATAAATGTGTAAATAAAAAATAACTGAAATTTTTGTTATCCTAAAGAATCCTTATTTATTAATCAAGAACAATTTTGGGCTTTTAAAAGGAATCCCCTTCTTGTACAGGGTGTTTCAAAAAGGTATGTCATAAATTATTCCTCAGATAGATTACCAAAAAATAAGTGGATTTGGCTATATTTATCTACATCAAAAACTGGCTCCTAACAAAGTCAAACAAACGTTCAAAAAAACGTTTTTATTTGTAAAAAAATTGCTGTTACGATTTTTTCTTTGAATTTTTTGCCAGTACTGTAGATTTAAAGGCCCAATATTCTAAGGTGACAAAAAAATTAAATTGAAACTCTTAAAAAAAGTTGGGGGGTTGGGTACCTTTTAACTCCCCCGTATTTTTTTTGTCATAAAGAAACTTGTTTTATCGATCTTAATATCGAAAAGAACTATGAAT